AATGTGACATCAAAAACGTGATGTCATTGTCGTCGTCACAGTCACACATGGTGGACGACCCAACTTGTGTTACATAAGAAATAAAGTCTGAATCTGCACGCACACACACACACAGGTTTGTTTTTATGGTTTATGGGGACTCTCCATAGGCGTAATGGTTTTTATACTGTACACACCGTATTTTCTATTGCCCTACACCAACCCTACCCCTAAACCTACCCCTCACAGGAAACTTTCTGCATTTTTAGAATTTCAAAAAAACTCATTCTGAATTATTTATAAGCCTTTTGAATTACGGGGACACTGAAAATGTCCTCATAAATCACCTTCTCGTTGTAATACCTATATCATACCCATGTTATTATGCAAATTTGTGTCCTCATAAACCACATAAACACACACACACACGTTTAAAGAAGGGTGAGTTAGAGTCCTCAGCCGGGGGTAACAACTCAGTATCTTTTGTTTTAACATTGAGAGCAACTGGATTACCACATGTATTTCGTTCAGGTGTTCTCTAAAGAATATTTAGCCTCAGGTGAGTTAAACCAAGAGTCGTTATCAGTGCTAAAACTGGTTGCGATGGCATGGCTAGAGCTAGCTAGAAAAACACACAATAAATGCCTCATTTGCGCAACTAAAAAGGTGGTAGCCTACTGAACACCTGAGACGGCATGTAGACCACTTAAATATACATTGCTGCACAGAAATGAACATAATTGACAATTCATAATTGATAATAAAAATATAACATTCTAATATATTTCAAATATTTTATTTTATTTATTTATTTTGCACTTTAATAGCCTGCTAATGGCTGAGGAGTGTCACACCTACGGCTTTTATATGCCACTGCGTTTTACATAACATTTGGAGCAGCCTCAAGTCGCTTTTGTAAAGAGTCTTTATAGGCTATTATTTTTGATTATGCAGTAGCACAGCACTCAGTCTGTGATAAAGCAGCTATGACAAAGAGGCCATTTTAGACGCTTTACGTTTATATCAACTTCCATTCATGTCTGCATAATCTGGTATTGCACCTTTTGAATGTAAGACTGTGTGTAAAATGGATCATTACATTGCAAAACTATGCATCATATTATCCTGTACATTCTAATTTGTTGGCTTCGGGCTGCCAGGGTTTTTTGTGCTGTGTAGGGCCTCTGGCCAGAATCCAGTGTGTTAAAAAGGGATTTAAGCATCTGATATTGAAGTTCTGTTCAAGTGCTCAGTGCTGCATTGGTGCCTAAATTGATTATAAAACTCACAGATATTTTTGTATTATTTTTTTTTTCTTTTTGATGCAATTGAAAACACACAATGCCTAACAAGTCTTCAATGCTGAGTGCGTTACATTCTAATTTTAGATAGCTTTGGAAAAGTATTTTATAGCCCATCTATATTTTCTTATCATCCTTTACCGAGATACTGTGACGTCAAGTCACGGCGTCAGAGTGGCGGCCGGTAGGGGCTCTGAGCTCGCGCTCCAATTATTGCCTGTCAATCATTGTTGCTTCAGAAGCGAGCACACAGACTAAAACTCCTGCTTTAAATAATAATAATAATAATAATAAGTTATTATTATGCGATAGACACATCACAGTTATTTCGAAGGATGTTAAATTGTACAAAATGAGTTAAAACGCAATTTCTCACCTGAAAACTGTTCTTGGTGTAAACTCTGGTGTAAAAGTGTTACTCCATTAAAAAAAGCAAAATGACCAAAACAGTGCCTTTCTCGAAAGAGTGATGAACGAGCTGGAGCACCCTGGTAGACAAGTTTATCTTGTGTTCTCTTTGATTGATCCAACCAGACAAGCTAAATGAATAATTAATATACACAAAGCGTTGCTACAAGCAGTTTGAGGCCACAGAGCTTCCAAAGGTGAGAAGCAGCTATCCAAAGGAGCACGTTTCTATATCCTCAGTAGGCTGTATTACATGCGATTCGTTTAGAAACAGTCATAATAGGCCTAAATGTTTATTTGAATTTGAGTTTCAGCTGCATGAAACCCCAACAAATTTAAAACGCGTGGAATAGGAAAAATAACCTTTAGTGCTAAAACTGGTTGCGATGGCATGGCTAGAGCTAGCTAGAAAAACACACAATAAATGCCTCATTTGCGCAACTAAAAAGGTGGTAGCCTACTGAACACCTGAGACGGCATGTAGACCACTTAAATATACATTGCTGCACAGAAATGAACATAATTGACAATTCATAATTGATAATAAAAATATAACATTCTAATATATTTCAAATATTTTATTTTATTTATTTATTTTGCACTTTAATAGCCTGCTAATGGCTGAGGAGTGTCACACCTACGGCTTTTATATGCCACTGCGTTTTACATAACATTTGGAGCAGCCTCAAGTCGCTTTTGTAAAGAGTCTTTATAGGCTATTATTTTTGATTATGCAGTAGCACAGCACTCAGTCTGTGATAAAGCAGCTATGACAAAGAGGCCATTTTAGACGCTTTACGTTTATATCAACTTCCATTCATGTCTGCATAATCTGGTATTGCACCTTTTGAATGTAAGACTGTGTGTAAAATGGATCATTACATTGCAAAACTATGCATCATATTATCCTGTACATTCTAATTTGTTGGCTTCGGGCTGCCAGGGTTTTTTGTGCTGTGTAGGGCCTCTGGCCAGAATCCAGTGTGTTAAAAAGGGATTTAAGCATCTGATATTGAAGTTCTGTTCAAGTGCTCAGTGCTGCATTGGTGTCTAAATTGATTATAAAACTCACAGATTTTTTTGTATTATTATTATTATTTTTTTGTTGATGCAATTGAAAACACACAATGCCTAACAAGTCTTCAATGCTGAGTGCGTTACATTCTAATTTTAGATAGCTTTGGAAAAGTATTTTATAGCCCATCTATATTTTCTTATCATCCTTTACCGAGATACTGTGACGTCAAGTCACGGCGTCAGAGTGGCGGCCGGTAGGGGCTCTGAGCTCGCGCTCCAATTATTGCCTGTCAATCATTGTTGCTTCAGAAGCGAGCACACAGACTAAAACTCCTGCTTTAAATAATAATAATAATAATAAGTTATGCGATAGACACACCACAGTTATTTCGAAGGATGTTAAATTGTACAAAATGAGTTAAAACGCAATTTCTCACCTGAAAACTGTTCTTGGTGTAAACTCTGGTGTAAAAGTGTTACTCCATTAAAAAAAAGCAAAATGACCAAAACAGTGCCTTTCTCGAAAGAGTGATGAACGAGCTGGAGCACCCTGGTAGACAAGTTTATCTTGTGTTCTCTTTGATTGATCCAACCAGACAAGCTAAATGAATAATTAATATACACAAAGCGTTGCTACAAGCAGTTTGAGGCCACAGAGCTTCCAAAGGTGAGAAGCAGCTATCCAAAGGAGCACGTTTCTATATCCTCAGTAGGCTGTATTACATGCGATTCGTTTAGAAACAGTCATAATAGGCCTAAATGTTTATTTGAATTTGAGTTTCAGCTGCATGAAACCCCAACAAATTTAAAACGCGTGGAATAGGAAAAATAACCTTTTTTGACTTAATGGCATAGACAGGCAAATGTAACGTTGAGAGGTGAAAGCTATAAACTCTAAATGCAAATGAAGTCTTCAGCTGACTAACCTGCATCCACAGCTTATCTAAACGCTTATCAAGCTAATTGGCGACGTTCTGTCTTTCTGCCTGCGGTGGGCGAGCCTGCAGCTTGTTTTGCCACGAGATAATTGTAAGCAAGAATCAACGAAGCTGCCCTAATGGCCACCAATTGGCTCTATTTGGACCTGCCCATGCGACCTGTCGGCACCACCGAGAGACGGGCCCGCTATTAATATGTAAAGTGACGTTTGATCGCTTGAAACAGCATACAAAGACAGTGTTTTCACAAGAAGAATGTGGTGACAACTAATTTAAAACAATTAGACGCGCAAGAACAATAGCCCCCAATTTAGAGACCATAAAACACTCCTCCCCAATTAATGCCTGAGGTGCCAGGACTTGTGTTTGTTTGTATTAGGCATATATTGCATGTGACACTTCAATGATACAGGTTTTGTTTGTTTTAAGCAAATGTTAATGGTCCTAATCCATAAACAAAAGTTTATGATAACTGCAATATAAATCCTTTTATTTATCAATTGAGAAAATTAAAGTCATTGCTGGTTGGCACTATCTGTATAAATAAAAGTAGGCCTAGGCTTAGTCTACCATATGCCGGTTAATATTATTTTTCAGTTGCAAATATAATTATTTTAAATCTTTTTGTCTGGATAAACGTTCTGATGAAGTAATTGTTGAAGACATAATTTCAGGTCAGGTCAGGTCTGCTCTCTAAGTCTTTAAGTAAACAAGACAACATATTCACACATCACCAATGTGAAAAAGGCAAAAAGATCTCAATAAATTGCTCCGCTGAATGATGAGTCTCTCAGCTCTCTGAATGTGGAGCACTAGGCCGAGAGTCGCCGTGGCAGTTTGGAAAGCGTGATGTCCGAGCCAATGGCAGTCATCGCGATCTGCTATTGGTTAACAGAGCCATCACTGCCAGCCCGTGACCCGCCCATGTTCGTAAGATATGGAATCTACTGGCGCCAGGTCCGACAGTACACAGGCACGATTCATTAATGAGACTTCTCTCCGCGTCGGACAGCCGCGGAGTATTTTTTAGAGAGAGTTTAACAATTGGGCTGTGGACAATTTAAACCAGTGGCGAGTTACGAATGTCAGCAGACATCTTGAGGATTAACGTTCTTTGTACGTGAATAACACGGGAAAAATAAACGGAGGATTGCAGTGCTGAAATACTTTGCGCCGTGAGTACTTTTCGATAGTTCTTTACAATTGCTTACGCTTGAGCCTGTAATGCATCGACTTAGTTTTACAGGTTGCAACCCATATTTCGATAAAGTTCATATATATTGAACTAAAAGGGTGAATCATCAGCCGCGGTGTTGTGCGTGTTGCATAATTGATATTTAAGTTGTATTTGATCTCAATGTCAAGTTTGTATCGTTCGAGTACGGAGTCAACAGGTGAGAAGTGAACATTAGACATTTTGTTCTTTGAAACAAACTAGTGTTTTGGCAAAAATAGCGGAGGAAATAGACATTTTGCTGGTAATTTTCATTTCGGCTCGAGCTTTATGTTCGGTTCTTTCTTGTATTTCTCAGCTCGTCTCACGGGAAGTCAGGTCTGCCGACCACACCTCATACATAGTCCCGGTATTCCTTGGCTGGACAGCGGCAAGGCAGCGCTCTCCGCCGCCCACCACAACGCCTGGGCGGTCAGTCACTTCAGCAAGCCTGGCCTGCACCCCGCCAGCGCCGGTTACCCGTGCAGCAGCAGCTCCAGCACCGCTCCCGTCTCCTCCCTCACATCCGCAACCCACTCCAGTCCACATCCCCTCTACAATTTCCCCCCAACCCCACCGAAAGACGTCTCACCGGACCCCGGCCCTTCTTCTCCGACCTCCACCACTGCAAGAATGGATGAAAAGGAGTCCATCAAGTACCAAGTGTCCATCGCTGATGGGATGAAAATGGAGGGATGTAGTCCTCTTCGGGGAAGCCTGGCTATGAGCGCCCAAACACCGTCCACGCAATATCCCATCCCAACCTACCCAACATACTCTCTTCCCGCGCCACACGAGTACGGCGGCGGTCTGTTTCATCCTGGTACCCTCCTCAGTGGATCCGCTTCAAGCTTCACACCTAAATGCAAAAGCAAGACGCGGTCGTGCTCAGGTGAGTTTCATTAGCTCTGACATTAGCTCTTCATTAGCTCTTCGTGAAGTGAAGAGTAGCCTAGATAGGCGTTTAGAGAAACATTGGCCTAGGGAGCATTTTAAAAAGCATTTTTACATCAATTGTCGAAATGTAACATTAATAAAGAACAATAATATATGTGTAGGATTCCGTGTTAATTAAAAAAAATAAAATAAATGTAGCCAAATACAAGGCGTCCTGAAAAATGTACTGGCCTAGGAATATCCATTTTCCATTATCATAGTTTTTCTCAAGATATTTTTTTTTCTCAGACACGTTTTGGATCTATATGGAGTTTACTTTTTTTGTCTAATTAGATGAATCCTGGATTCCATTTTAGGAATCTCCCTCGAGGCAACTACACCGCAATTTTTGAATTATGACAAGCACAAGTTTCAGCAGCTCTTAAAAAAATGCCACACCAAAATACATCACAATTCGAAGGTGTCACTCCCAAGACATAAAAAGTGGTTATCGTGCATAAACTGCGAACCAAAGACAACTGTGTAAACACTCTAAACACTATCGATATTTTTAACTTGAACTTATAATCGATATTTTTTAATCAATAAAGTAAAAAAAAAAAGTCTAACATTATGATAAAATATTGCAATGGATCCAGTCAACGAATGATTATGAGAACAAATCCCAGTCTATGCAATAAAGCCTATCAAAGGTTTTGTGATGAAAATGGTTTGCATAAAATGACAAATAAAACAAAATGAAAAGTGGAAAATTGAGCTTTCGCAGAACTTTTGGCTTTAGTGATTTAAAAACACACATACCTCCATATTCACAAAAATTCTTCTTCTTCTTTTTTTTTTTGGTTAGGCCTGAATAATGATTTTATTTGGCGGGCTGCGTGTTGCCTCACGCTGTGTTTTCCTTAAAATGTAGCCCTTATTGCACTTAAAACGTTTAGGAGTCACGACGCGCTGGCTCCAGTCACATCCTGTATACCTTCAGCTGAACAAATCACGACATACTCCCCCCTCCGCCCTCCCACGACCCCAATACTAACAAAACCCAACCCCGGCGGGACAGGCCTACATGGGCGAAAGGACCCTGCTGTTTGTGTGCTTACATTTAAAATGCACGACCTCGGCCTGATGCACTGCTAACGAAGACCTTTATTTTGATCTATTATTTAAAACACTTTTCATTACAGTTACATTACTCATATTACTTATGTGTAATTATTATTATATGACATTAAAAATAATGTGCAAATACAAGTTGCTTCATAAATCAATTAATAGGAAATATTGTGTTTTTTATTATTAACCTCAGAAAAATGCAAAACATGCCCTTATCATTGTTTTAACATTTTATGTAGGCTATTTATTTATTTAGCCAACCTATGATATGGAAAATATCTTGTTCTGAAAATATTGTTAGGATTGAGTGTGCAGTGGTGAATGGAACCTTCGTAGTAAATTGTTTTTGATAATTCTTTAGCTGAAGAGATTCAATGTAAACAATCAAATCAGTCCTACATGATTGAGCACTGACAGAAAAAAAAGTTAATTTATTTAAAAATTAACAAGATATGGATGGAAAATATGCATTAGTGAACCTCCTCTAATTACTCACCCTATTTGCAGGCCCGTTTTCACCTAACACTCCCAAGCACCAAGTTTCAGTAGGCTACATTTAAAATGCGAGTGATAGGCTACTTCTAACCATGTCAAGCCTAAAGAGAAAATGGAATGAAAATGACTGACTTACATCACATACACTTCAAAAGAGCCTCCATTGTCCGGGTGGATTCTTTTCTCTGGTCAGGGTGGGACAGCGACTATCTCACATTATAATGTGAATAATTGAGAGGTGCTCAGGGGAGTGAGGAGGAAGAGCATATGAATTAAAGCACACGGCCCTTTCCAGCAGGTTAGGGTGCTTTACTGTGATATGACACCTGAGAATAGGACAAGCCGGGACAGCTGGCTGATAAACGGGGATGGGGATGTATGCCATAGAATTAACTCACATTTTAGTCACTTTCTTGTCTTGAAAATATTGTAGCTGCAAAAAGAGACTGCTATTTGGTGTTCCTTTTGTAGCAGACAAATTAAAAGATTGGTCTGTAGGTAATTTAAGAGCAGAACCTGGATGTACTGCTCATTTTTCACATAGTCACGCAGTGACAAAAATGTTATTTCATCCACAAACACATGCACGCTCACAAATTCCGATATCAATTATGTAATACATCCAGCTCAGATGAGAGATTCCAGTGTGGATGTCATGTTAGATATTGTCTAATTAACTTGGGAGTTGTTTTTCTTTGCCCAGACCGTGCCTTTGCATGACCCTGTGTTCCTGTATTGTAGATGGAGTGTGAAGCTCTTAATTATATAAATTTCCCTTTGCTTTTCCTCCACTTGAATTCTGCACAGAGGGGCGTGAATGTGTGAACTGTGGAGCCACCTCCACCCCGCTGTGGCGGCGGGACGGAACGGGCCACTACCTCTGCAACGCATGCGGCCTGTACCACAAGATGAACGGCCAGAACCGACCCCTTATCAAGCCAAAGCGCAGACTGGTGAGTCGATGAGCCCTCCAGAATTCTTTCAGTTCCCCACACACATGAGAAAGAGGGCTAAATAGGAGCACTGAGCAGAAAGCCTGAGCACAATTCCAGGAAAGTTATATTTTCCCTATTATCTTCCTGGAATTGTTTGTCGCCCTCACCCCCTGGTGATCCCCTACTCTGCCTGTTACAATACTGCTACTATTGCCATTGTTCCCGCTATCATTATTGCTTCTAGTTCTGATACTGTCACTGATACCAATGCCCATGCCGGTACAATTATCACCAATCCGCATTGAGAGAAACCTGTTGCCGCACTATTGTCTGAGTGCATCTGTTTAGTTTGATCTACTTTTTCTGGGGGTGTTTAGAAAGCCACATGCCATTGGTTTTGTTTTGTGTGGCTGGCTTATAATTCTGGTTCCATTTTAGAATCGCTGCCAGCATGATTATCTCGTTTAATCTTGATGAGATGTTTAAAAGCAGATTTTTTGTTTGATTTATCTTAATGGCTCTTTGCATTGAGATGATTGATAAAAAGCAAACCTAAAGTTTCAAGATTATGTTGCTGTTTTCTTGAGAAATCATTAAGATGTGTGAAAAGTCAAACTTGATTAAGCTTTGGTTATTAATCTCCTTTTTTCTGTAGTTCATGGACAGCTTGTAAAAGAAGACTCCTCTATGCTTTTATTTAAATATAAATCATATCTTGTTGGAATGAAACACCTGGACAGGATGACAGTTTGTTCAGCATCGGGATTCTATGAAAACAGATGACTTTTCAAAGAATATAATCTATGGCTACGTTTTTTTTTCTATTCACATAATCTTATTTTATCCTTTAGCGGATGAAACTCTATATCTCTACCTCTGTCTCTTTACTCTGTTATTGAGTCATTTTTGCAGTCTTTCAAAGCATGATGTAATATTATTATAGAGATTCATTTTGGAGACACAACAAGCAGTTTAATTGAATGAGACCGTCTTTTTCTATCAGCCATATGTCATAATTTAATTTTCACTTGGCTAAGTGACCATCAGAGTGTAAATACAAGCGTCTCAGTGGGAATCTTATTTCCAGTGTTGTAAAAGAGACACTTAGTGCATAGCAGGAGAACCATGAGCTTTGTACTGAATTACAAATAGTGACATATTCAAAGCGGAATTAAATTGTGAATTTTAAGACTACAATTTCTTATTTTGATGATCGTTATTATTTTTAGTAGTGGTAGGTGTAACATAGCTGAGTTTTTTCCTCTTTAGTTTCTTTCTGTCTTTCTCTAGCCTATATGTTCTCATGGTGAAAAAAGGCCACAGGGTTTTCCATGGAGTCAGTGTGCTGGCCCATGCTTTTACGTTTTGGGCTGAAGTGTTTTCAGCGCGCTGTTCAAAGGCCATCCAGTTGTTTCCTATCCGGATATCTGCCCGGGCCCGATAAGGAAGCCAGGCTCCCGGGTGTTTCCGTCTTCAACAAACCCGGCTGAATTTTCTCTGGCCCCGGCAGGCCCGAATGACATCTACTGTAAAGCGATTATCAGAGCACTATGTGTGAAGGGGCTGGGGCAGGGATTGGAAAATAAATGGATTTATACTCTTTTGCTCTCTTGTTTGTCATGCTCGACTGGCACTGCGTTGAAGTATCGGAATGTGTGTGTTTTTCTTGTCGTCGGCGTTTTGTTTAAATGGATTCATAGCGTCGTTTTTTTATTCAGATCCTCTTTTTACAAAAGCTCAGTAGAAATTATGTAAATCGTTAACGAACACAAACTGCAAATGCTATATGTGTTGGACACCGAACCTCACTGAAGACCCACGCTCGCTCGCATCCCCTCCACTGGGGCTTTGCGTTAGCTCCTCCATACTGAAAATCTCCACGCACCCCCCTCCCCTCCCGTCAAGAAATCTTCCACAGGTGAGGGACTCGAAGGGGTTCGTTCCTGCTTGGACACTGCCGAGGAAGGTGTCATCTCATCAACAACCACGTCAGCTTGTACAGAGGACGGTTTGCGTGTTTAAGAAGCACCTCTCCCTTCTAGACACTGAGGACTTTCACAGACAGAGCAGAGGGAGTGAGAGCTATCTTTGCTTTTAGCTTTTCGTTACGTTTTACTGAGTCACTTTGGTACTGTCCTGAAAGAAAGGACGTGTCTTTGCAGATTCACTGTGTGGCAGTTCCTTCTCAGAAACTGTCTAGTTAAGGACTCGCTCTGACTCTTTGCGTACATGACGAGTCAAAGAAAGAGAGACAGAAAGAGAGAAAACCACTAAGTTTATCCCCCCTAACATGCTGGAATACACCCCCCTATGGACTCTATGGATACGACATACAAGCAAAGAAATGTTTATAAAGGTTAATTGTTATTATCGTTATTGTTATTATGATAATTTATTTTCACTCTTTATCTCTTATTTCGCTTTCCTCAGAACACATTGTTATATAATAAATATTATTTGATTGTTATTGATAAAAAAAAAAAAACACTGACCTATCCTAGCCAAGGTGATGTTGCTGAGCTGTAAGTTTTTATCATTTTCCATTACACAATTAAAGGAAATAAAGTTTTAATACTTCATCCCTTCCCTGAGTTCTTCCTTGCTAACGTTATGTGAAAGCAAAGTACAGTCAGTCTTCTCAAACGGAGACGTTTCTGCATCTACAGGCTGGTTTGATCATTTACGTTTCCGATTCCAGGGCATCGTATTTCCAACCAGTTACAGCAGTTTAACATGAGAAACGCACACAAATGCCAAAACATGCACAAGGCCAAACACAAAAACACCCAAGCGCTCGGATACGCTGCTGTTCCATATACTAAGTGTCAGAGGGAATTTCACCTAGGCATCGCTGAGCTCTAGAAGGTAAGCGATATCAGATGCACAAGCTAAGTGCTTGAACTGCAGTCCGTCTGGGGAAGAAGGAGACCTCTGTGGCATATAAGCCCCCCGGGGTGCTTCGGTTTGACCCAGACAACAGTCTCCAAACATTGGGAGGAATGGGGGGTTCCAATCATATGCAAATGGGAAGAGCCATACTGTACATAATGCTTTTAGATGGACGAATTTATTGTCCCTGTGTCCTCCTTTTCATCTGACCTACTCAACCCCCTTGCTTTTGGCTTGTCTTTCTGGAGCCAAAGGAAAAGTAAGCAAAAGGACAGCAAGTTTTTTTGGTGGGAGAGAGAGAAATTGAGACAAAAAAAGAGAGAGAGAGAGAGAGAGAGAGAGGGAGAAGAGGAAGGAAAGGCAATCAGTCCAGTCCATGAACAAACACGTGGGGGGCAGTTTGGAGCCTTCTCCCACAGATGTGCTTGCAGCTGAGGCTTGCAGGAAACAGCTCTTAACCCGGTCTCATTTTCAAGCTATTTAACCCAGTGCGGTGACTGAGGAAACCATCAGCCCAGCCAACAGTTAATGAGAGAGACCCAACAACAGCACAGACCATGCTGAGGTGCCGACTCTTGCACAAGTGCAGATATGCCCATCCCCCATCCAAATGATCACACACCCCTCTATTCTATTCTATTCTATTCTATTCTATTCTCTCAGTCATTAGGTGTCAGTCTATTAGTGTCCTGATTAATCTTCAGTGTTTTCTGAAAGCCAGGGCCAGTTCAATCAAAAATAAAAATTCTGTCATCATTTACTCATCAAGTTGTTCCAAACAAATAAGATTTCAATACACAAATTAAGCCATTTAAAAAAAATGAAACCAATGGATATCTGTCCCTCCATTGAAGGTTAATTCCACCGAAATGTTAATGCTTCAAAAAGTTCATAAAAGTTCACCCATATAAGTTGAGAGCGTTAAACATAATCTTCAAAAGAGGCACAATTGCTGTATATGACGAACATATTAAATTTTTATTCCCATACAAACATTTATCAGTACACATGCATAGAGCACATCAAATATGGTAAACATAACCTCAACCGTACTTGCTTGACGCATGAGAAAAAAGCTCACTTGTTTTTGCGCATCAAACAAACACATTTGAGCTTCAGTTTAACAAATTTGTGAAAATGATTCCCGTTGAACTTGTGAAACACAAGTACAAACATGTATTTGTGATTTATATATAATAAGAATGTGTCAAGTGTTTTTTTTATAGAAAGCATGTGGTCCAAAACAACCCTGGTTTTCAAAATCTGAAATATAACTACAGAAATTTCAATGTGGACTCAAACATTTCTCATCAATTATCAATTATTTTAAAGACCAAATTATCTGAGCTGTCACTTCTTTAATTACACATCACTTTTATAGCTCCATATTATGGAGCTATAAAAGTAATGTGTAATTAAAGAAGTGACAGCTACTGTATGTCAACAACTGCCCAATTTGTTTCTATTTTTATTGCTCATTAGTAATTTATGCAAAACATCTCAGAAAGTCAATACTTAGATGGAAAATAACACGACATGCTTTCAAAAAAAAAAGAGAGACTTAAAATACTAATTAAAAATGACAAATTTTCATCATCTAGAAACCTGGCAAGATATATTCAAAAAAGTGAGCAGATAATCTCATAAATCCTTCATAAAGTCCACAATATTCTGCCTCACCGATAAAAAAACCTGTGTTTGTAGTAATAAACTGTTCAACTGCATTCCTGCTGTGTGTTTGCCAGTTATAGATGCCACTGGGCTTTTCTGTTTGTGTGTGTGTGTGGAGGTATTTGTGTGAGTGTGTGTGTGTTGTTCTCTTTGGCCAGGCTCCCAGAGCATGAAACATCCAACGGACTCAAACAGGGCACTCCTGAGGGAACTAGCTGTCTTCCCCAAAATAATAATGGGATCGGGCCACGTCAGAGAGACGGGAGAAGGAAAAAGAGAAGCTTTATTCAGTGTAGAGGCTGAGGCACCGTGACATGCTCGCGTGGTTCCACGTGTGTCCTTGTCCTCTCCGTCCTCACATGTGTGTTTTCATATAACTGGTCTCTTCTTACATATACAGTATGTGTGTTTGGCCATGTTCAGAGTGGAGTACTAGCTTACTACTGAACAAATACTGTACTGTATAGACTGTACACTGACTACTATTTTTCAAAAATAGTACAGTTGCATGTGGGTCTATGAAGTATAATATTATCCATGATAAAGAATATAATCTAGTTAAAAACATGTGCTAATGTACTCTTTGTATTCATGTTGGTTTCATATGGTACATAACCACTGATAGGCTGTAATGCAGTTTTATTAAAAAATTATTATTTTTATGTCGCACAAATACACATTTTTAATACAG